GGAGAATCTATATGTGATGAATCTATATGAAGTTTAATTCTTGATTATCTTGTGTATGAGATTTGGTTATATTGGGAATCACTTTGAGGGGGATCCCTCGTCATGTTTTAGTATCTATGGTATCACTTTGAGGGGGAGCTCACTCGTTGCTCATTCTTGATTATTGTTATTGAGCTCCACAACAAATACTTTCGATTAATATTATGAGTATGCATATGATTTGTCATCAACTACCAAAAAGGGGGAGATTGAAAGTGCAATCATGCCCTTAATCATATTTTGATGTTGATGACAACACATATGCTAGGGACTAATCATGTTTATCAAGTATATCTCAGGATTATGTCTCAAAGACCGTGTGCATGGATCATGACTAGGGACAAAAAGCATATAACTCAAGAATGGAGATACAAGACATTGACTTTCTTTATGGTTTGTTCTTGAGTATAGGGATCCCGCACTATTAAGAGGGATCGTTGGATCTAGTGAAAAACTTGCTCAAAATCCACTGTTCCTATACTTTGCCTCCGGACGTCCGGTGCTCTACGGACGTCCGGTCCCTCTCAGCTGCCCGGACGTCCGGCTCCCTCCGGTCGTCCGGTGTTCCTTTATAGAATGGTTTTTACGGATGTCCGGAACTCTCCGGACGTTTGGTACTTTCACAACAGAACCATTTTTACGGATTTCCGGACTCTTCGGTCGTCCGGGCTCCGGATGTCCGGCCCGTCCCGGATGTCCGTGTCCTATGTTCTGGGTCGTGGCTCACAGGTTCACAGCGGCCGGTCGTCCGATGGCTGTCGGACGTCCGGACCTATTTGTGCCTCCGGACGTCCGATGTTCTCCGGACGTCCGATCAATCCTATGCACTTATGTATCCCAAACGGTCACCTTTCCTCACCCACTATATATATGGCTTTCCCTTCCACGGGATAAGGTTGACCATTCACTTTGAGCCTACCAAGAACACTCCTCACTCTCTCTCTCTCATTCACCTACACCAAATTCTAGATTCCCAAGTGTTCTAGGAGCATTTGAGAGAAGTTCTCCAATCAAGTGATAGATCCACTCCTTCCCCTTCTTTGCACCAAAGGAATTCGTGATTTGAGCAAGTTTTGAGCTTATTCCCAACGTTCTTATTACTCTTGGAGGTTGGAGACTCCTAGGCGGTAGGAGTCTTTCGGAGAGGAATCAACCGTTGTGATTTCCCCGGAAAAAGTTTGTAAGGGTTTGGAGATCACCCCAAGATCTACCACTAGTGGTTGAGAAACGCCTCCGTGGTGTTGTCCCAAAGGGAGAATAGGGTGAGCCTTCGTGGCGTTGGTGTGCTTTCGTGGTAACATCCACCTCTCTAACGGTGACTAGCTTCCCTCCAAGGAAGTGAACATCGGCATACATCCTTGTCTTCCGGAGTTGCGGTTATTCCTAACCCTAACTCTCTACTTGTGGTTACTTGTCTCTTTGCACTTACTTACATCATATTGTGCTTGCTTACTTAAGTGCTTGGGTTACTTGCTTAGTATTTAATACTCATTTGCAATTGTTAGGCTCACCGTCATATTCCACACTATTGCCTAAAATTGCTAAGTAACAATTAAAATTTGTAGTTGTACCTATTCACCCCCCCTCTAGGTCCATCTCGATCCTTTCAGTGGTTTCTTCCGAGTCGAAGACGGCGGTTCCCAGCGACGTGGCGCTGCGAGGTCTCGGCGATGGACTCATGTTGATGGATACACACAGAATGGTAGCATTGTCTGGCATCATGGTGGCGTTGACGATAGACCTACCAAGGTTTATGCACTGATTCCTGTCGTGAATATGGGTTCGTGGAAGATGGCGGTGGCGACTTCTAGAGCGAGCACATGCGATGTGCGCTAAGGGTCTGCTGGATCGGTGCTCTGGTTTTAGGCAATGTGTCTACGTGTAAAATCATAATAAGCGACCATGATTATGGTCACCGTCATCGTCAAGCTTATAGGTATGGCGGCACTTGTAAAATGGCTTCAATGGATCAACGTTTTATATTGTATTTGTAAGACTTTGTTGAACTACTATTTAATACAAAATAGTTCTGTGGATCCTTTGATGCAGAGACCAAGGTTCAACCTCCTTATCTAATAAAAACCGGACTCAGCTCTCTATATTTCTTTAATCAAACAAATAGTTAGCTCCAGAAAAAAACTAAAATGATACATAGTTTCTCCTAGGTAGCCTTCACGCGTGCCTAACTCTGCACATCAGGCGAACTAACCTATGGTTGGATGACTAGGAGGACAGTGATATCCCAGCCCACCAGGGCTCGCATTATTCCTGGATTTATTTCAAGATGGCATGTCAGCTCAGCCTCTCGGAGGCGCTCCTAGGGCTAGATATGCGTGTGTGCGTTCATAAATGTGAGTATATGCTCATGTATGTGAACAACTTCGATAGTACCGTGTTAAAAAAAACTATGCGCATCAGGCTAGCCGGATTTGGGATAAGTGGCTAAAAATATATGGTTGCTCCAACTCATCCCGCTAGATCGGTAGATCCAAACCTAACCTCATCAACCGATCAGTACGTCAGAGCCACTAGGCTGTTCCGACCCTATGCACTTCCATGTAAAGATCAGGACCAAACCACAATTGTTTCACCTTGACTAGCCTAATCCTCTGGTTTTTGCTGTCGACAGTTTTCTGATAAGTGGCAAGTTTGGTGATTTGTCGCTGAAGCCTCGGCAGGCAGCCACCAACCTCTCACCTATAACGCCCCACAACACGTTGCCATCAGCAAAATCGCGCATGAAAAACGCTTAAGCAGCACACTTACTTCTCCCTCTCCAACCGTCGTTTCACCGCGTCAAAATCAAGCCAAGGATTGAGATCAGATTAATTTCCGCTTTAACCGAAACTCAAAAGTGCATAACAACCAGTTGGGTTGCAATGCTTCCACGGACTTACATGAGTTATGAGATCATGCTGAATATTATACACACACACACAAATGAAGATTTCTACGAGTTCAGAAGAGAGAAAGCTTCTTTGGCAACGGCTACATCGCAACCACCGCCACCTCTACCACCGCTCGCTCCTCCTCAGTCCCTGGTCGCCATCAGGCCCTTCCGATTCTTCGTCCCCGATGTCCCAATCACTCACCATCCCTCCAAGTTCTGCTCAACCATTTCCTCTTTGCAATGCACCAACCATTAACCAATGAACCCTCCTTCCAATCCACCAAACTGCAAGAAACAACTGACACCCAGCTCTCCCTCCCTCCCCGGCTTCCGCCTTCGCCGGCAAAGTTGATCGCAATCTCACACTACTGATCGGCCAGTGATCACTGATGCACACGCTGCTGCTGCTGCTGCTGCTGCATCAACACATCATCCATTTGGATTCGGGCATTTCTTGGCACATAAGCACCCTCCTCCTCCACACGCTTTGCTAGTCCAAGCATGCTTGCTGCCTATTCCTTTACTTCTTTGCCAACGCTAGTAGGAGCCTTTAGGTGGCGCGTCTCCTCCTAGCTACGTAGCTCCCAAGAGATCAGCCCATCTCCTAGCTTCTTATCTCTGAATCCCGCCTGTACTGCACGCATTCCTTAGTCTTGTCCTCTCACCCTTCTGTCCTCTTCATCTCTTCCGTACCGTCCGACGAAGCCTCGCCGCTCCACCGCGCAGTGCATTCTCGTTTCTCAGCCGGTTCAGGTTCAGCCTTGTCCCCAGTGTTTTGCTTGTCCTGTTCATCATGTGCTTTGCTTTTAGGTGGCGCTGGGATTGATTTGTCTGACTGGTTCTGGATTTCTGATACTTGCAGTGGCAGCCATTCTTCCAGCACATGCGCCTTTTGTTACAAAGGAGGTGCAGGGGAGACTGTGTGCCTTGGGCTGACTGGAGCAAGGAATATCTTTGAACCTTTGATCAAGGAAAGGTATATTGGAATTAGATACTTTTGATTACAAGGAAAAAAGTTGTGACGACAATGACGAAGGCGCAGACCGCAGAAAGCCTCGGACAGTAATCTCAAGATGTTCAACAACATAGTATCCACATGGAACAAGAGGAGGAGAAGCAAATCGCTTGACCAGTTGAATCCTTGTGAGTGCAGTCCTCTGTTTCCGTCTCACTCTGTTGTCGGCAGAGTCATTTTTCACTGTATGCTTATCTGTTTCTTCAGTGCAATATTTAAGGTTTGCCATGAGGAATTTGATCATCTGATTTCTGCTTCTGCAGGGGTGTACAAGACAGCCGAGCTGTGGCAGGTGAAGGAGCAAGGCGCGCCGCTGCCGCTGCCCCCGCCGAAGAAGCGCAGCTGCTCCATGGTGTTCACCCTCAAGGAGATGGAGGAGGCCACCGGCATGTTCAGCGACAAGAACCTCATCGGCAAGGGCGGCTTCGGCCGGGTTTACAGGGGCGTGCTCAAAGACGGGCAGGTAAGTTCAGTTTCCACACGAAATACGTACGGCTCTTACTTTCAGATTCAGAAGATGGTGTTGTTTTTGTCACCTAGCTACAGTTTTCGGAATTCAGGTTACTGAATGTATGGGCAGGGTCTGAATATTTCCAAAGATTTTCAGAAGATTGTGGTGTTTTGTCATTTAGCTTTTTACATGTGTTTTTCAGATTATATTAGTATTTAGCACCAATGATTCTGTTGGGAAGAGAACTTCCTCTTTGGTTCTATGCATTTGTCAGTAGGACACACGCGCCTGACCTGAACGTGATAATCACGTCCGGCAGACAGCCCAGATCAGAGTGGTGTGACATTTGCTCCTGGCATCCATGTCAAGAAAAGCATCTGCCAACCACCAGTCAAATACGATCAAACACCAATAAATTCCAATGATGTTTTATTCCCCCTTCCAGTTTGACTAGCATAGATACACCAATAAATACCTTTGATCAAGGAGTATGTCATTAGTAGTACTGAATGCGATGTTTTATTCCCCCTTCCAGTTTGTAAATCTGTCAGCACCTACCTCGGTACCTGGTTTCAGTCCAACTAATGTCTTGTTGTTGTGAATGGATGAAGATTGTGGCCATCAAGAAGATGGACCTGCCGACGGCGAAGCAGGCGGACGGCGAGCGGGAGTTCCGGGTGGAGATCGACATCCTGAGCAGGCTGGACCACCCCAACCTGGTGACGCTGATCGGCTACTGCGCCGACGGGAAGCACCGGTTCGTGGTCTACGAGTTCATGCCCAAGGGCAACCTGCAGGACGTCCTCAACGGCATCCACGGCGAGGTGAGGATGGGGTGGGGGCAACGGCTGCGGATCGCGCTGGGCGCCGCCAGGGGGCTCGCGTACCTGCACTCCACCACCGCCGTCGGCGTCCCCGTCGTCCACCGGGACTTCAAGTCGAGCAACATCCTCCTCTCGGACCACTTCGAGGCCAAGATCTCGGACTTCGGGCTGGCCAAGCTGATGCCGCAGGACCTGGACCTGTACGCCACCACCAGGGTGCTGGGCACCTTCGGCTACTTCGATCCTGAGTACGCGCTGGTAATGGCCACGGCCCTCGCACCATTTCTGCAGAATCCGCCGTGCTGGTCGGGTTCTTGGTTGCACTAATGAGTAATGAGGATTCCATCTCGCATGCAGACGGGGAAGCTGACGCTGCAGAGCGACGTGTACGCGTTCGGCGTCGTCCTCCTGGAGCTGCTCACCGGCCGCCGCGCCATCGATCTCAGCCAGGGGCCTCAGGACCAGAACCTCATCGTCAAGGTACTTCCTCTCTCCCTCTCAGCCGGCTGCCGCACCGGCATCGTCCGGCACTCCCCGGCGTCCCCACTCTGCTGACCCTCGGCTGATTCTGTCTGCCCGGCTCGTGCTCTGCAGATACACCAGATGGTGGGCGACCGGAAGAAGCTGCGCAAGGTGGTGGACCGGGACATGGGGAAGGGGTCGTACACGTTGGAGTCGGTGTCCATGTTCGCGGGCCTCGCCGCGCGCTGCGTCTGCTTCGAGAGCGCCGGCCGGCCGGCCATGCAGGACTGCGTCAAGGAGCTCCAGCTCATCATGTACGCCAACATGAAGATATGAGCACGTTTTGAGAACGGCCGCGGATCTTTGCTTGGTTCAGTCTTGGAATTGTTATTCGAGGAAGAGGAAGAGGATGGCGAAACTTGTACAGAATTTTAGTACCCCGTTCCATCCATATTAATTGCGGCTGATCTAGTACAACTTTATACTATATCAGCGACAATTAATACGGATCGAAAAGAGTAACTTCTCATCGCGCCGTACGTTCTTGTGATGGTGGTAGGATTGTTTCAAAGTCTTGAAATGAGAGGGCTTGGTTTGTGATGTCCAAGAAATGGTGTCTCAAGAAGAAATCTGCCCTGTCGTCAACGATCGATGGAGGGAGCAAGTGATTTTTTTTTTCTTTTGGATTTGTACAGATGGTTAGAATCCCTGACTTTTGTATTATTGTGATGCACATTGCCACTTATATTAATTATTAAATAAAATATAAAATAAAGTCAATCACGGCGAACAACACTTTCAAGAAGAGATAAATGTCTTAGTGCTATCGTTGTCATAGTCTGGACAAAGGTTCTCATCCTAGTTGTCGAGACTAGCAACGAATATCGACACAATAGCAAGTAGACACTGTTTTCAACAAGGTAACAACGCAAATTCGTCGCGGTTGAGTCCGACCAATAAAGGTCAATATAAGAGTTTCCGTCCGAACTTGAAGCGTGTTCTAATCAATATATCAATGACAGATCATTCGATTGTCACATCCGCTAGCACTCCATGCCAAAACAGAAGGGTACAAACAGATTGGTGGGACATCTTTCCACCTTAGACCATTGCCACTGGCTTTAGGGGTTCATTCATGTCTCGGTGTAAAACTGACCACTGCCATTCCACACCGGCACGGGTCATATTGCATCATTCACCATATTATTAGAACCGCTACAATGCTAGAGCCTGCGGGGAATCACTGGTGCAGGGGAATCACTGGTGCACCCCTTACTCATCAATGTCGTATGTTGCTGCTAGCACCACGAACACCTTCTTACTATGACCGTTCCCCTTGCAATAGATAAAAATTCCATTTGAGCTGTCAGCGAGCACCCAAGGCACCGCATGCGACCACCAACGCTGTACCTACATGATGCATTGCAGACAATTATCAGATATCAATTTTTGACGATGTTGTTGTAGTTCGAATACAGTTTTTCAAAACTAATTGTGTGTAATGTGGAAACCACTAGCACACAATTATCTTTGTACGGATGTGTGCGATGAAGTTGGCTATCATCGTCGAGCTGTTTTAAACGAAGCATGTGCGATGTTAGAGTTCAAGGCTGACGACTTTTCGTCAAGAACCGTGTGCAATGTTATGTCCAACACTAGGGTATTAGATTCTATATATAATTTAATTACTGCAATAGCTAATACACCAGAAAATGCATGTCAATTTGAATGCAGGTAGAACTGAATGTATTTCACATATATCAACAAACATTTTTTTTAGAAATGAAGGAGGATCCCCGGCCTCTGCATCTGGACGATGCATTCAACCATTTTATTAATTATTCACACAAGACCTTACAAAGTCATACAACAGCAAGACTGAAGCCACTGTCTAGGCAACAAACTGTCGCTACTCCTATCCAATTGATGAAGCGATATTGATACTCTGGGCCTTTTTTTTGGTTTAAAAGGAAACTTTATTCATCTGAAATAATCAGTACATCGTTTGTGAGGATCATTACAATTTCATTTGGAGGTTCCTCGAACCAATCGGAAGTCGAAGAAAATCTAGCTAATCTAGCAAGTTCATGAGCTACTTTATTTGCCTCTCTATTACAATATTCGAATCTAGTCGTGACAAAATCACAGGCATAGTGGTAACAATCCTCAAAAACTGCCGCCGCCGCTCCTGTTGATTGTCCTCCTTCCTGCATGGTCTCAACCACCTCCATGTTGTCTGAGTTGATGATTAGGCGGTTACACCCCGCCCTTTGCGCCATTGTTAGGCCAAACTTGAGAGCTAAAGCTTCAGCCATCAAAACATCCGCACAATAGTCAATCTTTCCATTTCCTCCTGCAATGAACCTACCTTTGTGGTCTCTTAAAACTGCCCCCATCGTACCCTTCAACATATCATGATCAAAAGAGGCGTCAACATTAAGTTTTAAAAAATCCCTAGGAGGGCAGTACCAACCCCCCTTTTTCATCGTGGCCTTTGGAGATGATGCATTTACAAAGTTGGATGTGAGAGCTATGATCCCCATTGCTATCTGATTTGCATTCTGATTTGTTGATAGTCTGGGCCTAATACCAAACAGACCTCGCAGCCAAACCTAAGCATCTAAGACCTGAGGTCCCAACCAGGACGTCTGCCGGGTATTGGTACCAAATAGTCCGGCGTGCTCCTCAACCAGGACGCCTGCCGGGTATGTGGCCGCCGCAGCCACCTGCCACCAATCCATCTTCAGAGCTGTACTGTTGCATCTACCTTGCCCAGTCTAGCTGCTGCCGACGCCACCACGACGCCAGACAACGTCGACCTCCTGCGCGTGTGCATCGCCACACATCTGACGCCAAGCCTCCGCTGCTCCATGCCGCCAAGAACCTCCGCCATGAATATGTAGAAAGAAACACCACTCCACCGAGGAAGCCAACCGCTGGTCCCTCAAGGCCGAGTGCATCTCCAAGAATGCCCCCCCCCCAAGGGGGTAACGACACATGAATGCCGCCGTCATCCGATCAACTGATCTACGGTTTCCCCCGGAGGTATTGGGTGGGGTTGGTAGTTTCACCTCGATGATGCCTTCATGAAGGAAACGATGATAAGGGCATTGTCATCACCAGCTCCGGTCAATGACCGAATACCAGGTTTTCACCTGGATCCGTCCCAAGGAATCCACCGACAACCTGTGCACCGTCTTGACCGCCTTCAAAGCCCCAGATCTAGCCACCTAGATCCGACGACCTACCGGAACAGCAGTGCCACCGTAGCAGCCTTGGCGCACCAGCCACTGCCAGAGTGTGCCACCACTGGAGTCTGGGAGGAGTGCTCCCACCCCCACCTCGCCAAACCGCGAGAGCTGCCAAGATGGATCCCGCGCGCTCGTCACTGTCTCTGGTCCGAACCAATCCGCAATCAGTTCGCCATCACAGATCCGCCTTGGACAGGGACTGCACCACACCATGCCACTTTGGGAAGCCCGAGCTTCACCCGCCGCCACCATCCAGGGTCGCCGCCCTAGGATCCAGACAGAACATCGCTGCTGCCACCGGCCTTGTTCCGCCACTGCCGACCTGTCGAGCCGCCGGCCACTGCGACTCCACCGCCATGCCACCGACGGATCGGGCGAGGATATCCATCTTCCCCGAGGGCACACACCGCAACCTCTTCACTACGTACTAGATGATTTCCGTGTCGCACGGGAAGCCGCCGTGGCCACATCCCCATCCCTCGCCGAATGTCGCGCACGTGCCACCCCGCCACCGGCGAAGGACGCTGCCACGAGGAGACCCGCACGCAGCCGCCACACAGCTAGGCATCGACCCATCTGCAGCCGCGCCATCGGGCCCGCCGCCGTCAAGATCGTCGCCAGGATCCGCGCGCCCTGGCGCCTCCACCTGGCCTGGCTGCCCCCGCAGGCCACGGACGCGAGGAGGGGAGAAGGCCCCCCGCCACCAACCACCGCGAGAGGCTTTGTCTCGGCGGCGGGGAAGGGGAGGAGGGGGAGGTCTACCGGCAGGAGGTGGCGGCGCCGCCCGTGTCGCCCGCGGCAGGGGCGACGTGGGGGCTAGGGTTGCATTTTCTATACAAGTGGGGGCTAGGGTTGATTTTTCTATACAACATATGTTCAATAATTACGAGCATCAAACTAAGTGAAAGGATCAAAATACAACAAATAGCACCAATTTGGCACTAAACACTTAGCTACAACAACTTTAGGGACGATGAAGAGCGAGGCGAAAGACATTTGGGTCGTTCTAGTTGTTGAACAAGCGAAATAACTATATTGTGCCTTTGTTCATGTGGAAGGATTCAACAACCTTTGTCCAACCCCTTGTGATGACTACCCGCTCATCCTTCATCATCGAGGAAGATATCAAGTTCTTCATCATGGTTGTCTTGGTGGGATACTTCAATTTTCTTTCCTCATCAGGAATCACGTAGTTTGGGAGGTATTCCTCATTGAACAGCTTTGAAAACCACTAAAACATGAATATTCAGATATTCAGTATTGTGGTCTGCAGAGACGTTGTGAATGGAGAAAGTCTATAGTTCATACCATCTTGAAATTCGTTGTTGTCTTGGATAATGCACAAAGAGTTTGATTTTGATTGCCCATCTGTTTATCCTAACAATCTTTTTTAGTTTCTTCACTTAACCCTGTATCAAGAATATCTCATTGCCCCATATACATAAAAGGGTCGAAATGTGGATCTATACCCATGTCATATGTACCTACATGCACGAGATTTTAAACATTACAAGGCTACTTCGAAATTGTACAATAATATACAATAAGCCATAGAAAGATGAAGCTAACCTCGATGGTAAAGAGCAGCATCTCCCATTGTGAACCTGCAAGAAGTACATGCATGTTGAGAAACGAGAATTAGTAGACTATCAATAATATCTTCATTATGAAGACTTAGCAAACTAATATACCAAAATAGTTCATATGGAATAACGCATATCAAAATAGTTTAAGATTTCCATTATTTGTTCAATTCAGCATGCTTACAACCAGACAGAAAATATAATGGCATTGCCTGAAGGAACATTGAACCAGACAATCCATATTGTTCATAGAGCCATCTGCCCCATTGAACACATAATATCCATGATTCGACAATAGAGGTCTTATAGTTAAAGAGAGCAATGCATAATCAACAAAAGATGGCATAGAAGGAGGGCTTAAGTAGCTACAAGTACCTTCTAATTGTCTAGAATACTACGGATAAATTTTCTAAAATGAGCTAACTACTTGTCGTCGGAGACAATGATGAGCTCCTTCCCTCGAGAAGAACCCGAGGCCTCCACATCGTGGGTGCCTTCCTCA